GTTTGAGTGGGGAATGAGACAGGTCTGAGCGAAAATCCTCACTCACTCTGCCCATGATTTGTTCACATCCCAGGGTCCGCACTGTCTGAGTAGGACAACAGAGCCACTTCACATTCTAAAGAACCAAGTATAGAAAGGACTTAGCATCATGAACAATACTTGATGAACTCTCTAGAAACACAATTTTGATTTTATGATTCTTATTGATCAAGCTAAATAAGTTCTGAGTGAAAAATAAATGCCCACTGCAAAGAATTTTCAGGGAAAATAATCACAATATTGTGGACATATAACCTAGCTAATATATAAGCAGTATTGTGCCAATACTGAGATATTATTAGAATAATTTTGTGGGTGAGATAAGCTGCTTAAGAATGTTCATTAATCCAAAAAATTTCAAACAGAGAGTATTTTATTTTTTAAGAGTTGTAACATAGTAAGAAGTCGGGCTGTGTGGAGAATGCCAGCAGTTGAGAGGTAGAGGCAGAACTCAGCTTTGTGAATTGGAGGTCACCATGGTCCACAGAGTGAGTTCCAGAACAGCTAAGGCTATGCAGAGAAACTCTGATTCAAAAACACAAAAGATAAACAAAAAAAGTAATAAGAAATTAAATGGTATTATATTCTAATTTTTATAGTGGAAATTAATTTTGAATTAGGAAAAAGTAAAAAGTACATACAATGGTATTTTAAAGTAGTGGAAGTCTTGTCTTGATGTATTGCTGTCCTCATAATCCCTATACTCTGGAGGCTTTTTTTAAAGGTAAGAATACTTTGTCTAATGATTTTATCGGTGGGGTAATATAATTCCCCCAGCTAGAAGGAAAAAAAATGAACCTATTACTTTTTCATATACTCAATCCATAATTGTCATTACAAAATGTGTATCCTTGGTTATTTGACCTCCTCCACACAGACGGTATAGAAATGTGTGATAAGCCAGGCAGAAGAACACAGATTGTCACTGAAGCAGCACCGTGCTGTACAGAGGGAAGGGAGGGTTGGTATACGTGGAGGGTGGCAGGAAGGGAGTCATGCTAACAGTGACACCTCAATAATCCCTGACTGATTGGCAGGATTTCAGTGGCTCTTCCACATTTCAGCTGGAGGCGGCAGGATGAGTGACCATTAGACACGCTCTGCTTGTGGTTCTAAGTCACCGAATCTGACTGTGATTGAGGGAACAGGTATGAGTAGATTGGGGTGGTAGAGTTTACTCCCTTGAATTCCAGAGGAAAGGATTTAAGTCTGCAGGAAACAAGAAACCTCACGTTCTCATCACAAGAGACAAGCACCCTCACCCTCTGTTGATGTTTTGGGCAAACACTTAGTAATGAAATGATAAGATTATAACTTCACAAATCGAGAAGTCCAATGCCCTCCCCAGAACTAAGATCATGCAATGATTTGGAAGTGTAATTTTTCAGATTGACAAAAAGATGGTGGTATTTCATGTACTACAATTTTAAGAACTTGACGTTCACAGGAGAAGATGGTCTTCTCTGATGGGTCTTCATCTCTTAGATCTCCTTTGCTTGTGATGCTTTGCATGTTCTGTTAATGTTGTAATTAAACATGTGAGTGTGTGTTCTTACCAAACACACTGGTCAGACACCAAGGAGCAGGGTTACATTAAACCTGCCTCTGGATTTAAAATCCATTTGAAATATATGTTAAATGATTTGATGGCTTGATAGATAACCCATTTCCTAATGAATTCACTAGACCCAACTTAAATGAGCCAAGTTACATATGAATTTATATCCAAAATGCTCTTATTTCATTTTTTTGAGAGGGTTTCTCTGTAGTTTTGGAGCTTACCCTGGATCTAGCTAGACCAGGCTGACCTCAAACTAACAGAGATCCACCTGCCTCTGCCTCCCGGGTGCTGGGATTAAAGGCATGCGCCACCACCGCCTGCCTTATTTGATTTTTTAAAAAAGTACTGACAAGGCCAGTTTCTTGATTCCTGTAAGACCACAGCTTTATCAACATGCCTGAGACAGAACAACACACACTCTTGTGCTTTTTACATTTTTATTATAGTAGAGTTGCATGTGCACTGTAGAAACTTTATATGCTACAGATAAGCAAAAGAAGGAAAATCCCTATAATCCTACCCTCAAAATAGCCAGAGTTACTGTTTTATAGGAATTTACAATGCAATTGACACCTGCCCCACCCTGCTTTATTTTTTTTTTTCATTTGAAATGCTTGTGGCTAAGTTGTCCTTTAGCAAGACTGAGCTAGTCTATACTTCTCGAGTTGTGGAGCATGCTCTTTGCTTCTACCAACATCACTCACAATTACTAATATTTAATCCTGGCAAAATAGGTGAAAGAAAGAATTTTAAAAAGTAAATGTGTATTTCTTCTAAAGTTAACTAGGTTAAATATTTCATCATGAATTTATTGCATATATATATTTCTGGGTAATTTGTCTCTTGGGGTTTTTCCCTCCTGGTGACTATTTTTCCTACCCGGGTATGTCACTCTGTCACTCTTAAATTGCTTTTGAGAACTTAGCGCATGTTGCTAAACTGTCTCCATGACTCGGCCAGTCACTTGTGTTTTATCATATTTCCTTTCAGTGTCACTGATCCTAGGAAGAGGGACGAAGAAACCAGGAGAAAGATGCAGCTGTGCTCCCTCCCCCATCGCTTGTAAGCCGAGTCCACGTCATGAGCTATAGATTCTTCCAGGAAAGGAAGCAAAGAGAAAGGCGAACCGCGGAATATTAATTTCTGTGTGACTAGAATTTTTCAGCAACAGTGGCAAAACGAGAATTTAAAACCAGCAGATGCCTAGCCTGCTTTGGATGATTTGTGAGAATTTAGAGTTGATATGAATAAAAGTAATGTAATACTTACTAATGTAATGTAACACTGGTCTAGAAAGGAGTATAATGGGAAGGGCATTTGAACAACGACAAGTCAGATTTGGCAATTACAGCTAACAGTGAGTTCTGTTCATCCACTATGGGTCCATTCAAGTATTTCCATGGGACATGCATGAAAGTCATGTATGCCTGTGCCCTGAAAAGTCAATAAAGAATGCACACTTTCATGTTTTGGTAACTAAGAAATTAGCTGGGGGCAATGCTGGAATTCTGTCTTCTTGGAAGAAATAAAAACTGTGAAGGAGAAAAGTAAAAGAAACAACAAAGGAGAAAAGAAGTGGCCTGGCTGGGAGTACAGATGCAGAAAATACAGGAAACTGAAAGATGTTGAGAAGGAAACCATCACAGAAACACATTGTATACATTTAATCTGCCCAAAGTATCAAGATAGGTTGCAATGTGTCTAGTTTATGTAAGCAGAGCAGACAAATATGAAGATTTAAGATACTTCAAAAGAAACTTGTCTCTCATGGGTCACAAATAGTGAATTGTGTCTTCTATGAGGCATACATGTTGAAAGTAGGTTGTGATTTTAAATCTTAAAGATTTAAGGAGAGAGAGAGAGAGAGAGAGAAGCTAGATGTGACAAGTTCTATAGCTTGCTGTGGGAATTTAGTCATTTTAAATTCCTCGGCTATTTTCAGAGACATTCCCCCCTCCCCCACCCCAGCAGTAGCTTCAGAGTCAAGGGGACTATTTAGAGTTGTATTTGACTTCGATAAATAAAAGGTGTTTGGTTTAATTGTTTAATTTGGTTTAATTTCTACCTGAAGTCACTTTAAAAGTCAACAAAAAAAATGATAAAACCTCGAAACTTATGGACAAAATTGGTCTGGATCATAAAACCAGTCTAGATTCAAATCATTTCCTGGAGAGAGAGAGAGAGAGAGAGAGAGAGAGATAGAATACTTGGTCAGGTGTGTCTAGAAACCGAGAAAGTAACTGATGACAGTGTTTTAAACTTACTTACTCGTTTCCGATGGTGTCCAAAATTTTGTTGGTTCAGTGTTATATGTAACAAAATGAGAATTATGACATAGAAACAAAACTGTGCTTGGTTCTTTCGTAAACACTAAAGGTTATAAAATTATTGAAGCAGTGGAGTCAAAATTGTGGATGTCTTGCCATACAGCTTAAAAGTTTTCTTTTAAAGAGTTTAGTAGGATGCAAATACCTGATTTTAGTAGTCTGTAAAACCCGGGCATAAAAAGAGGACGAATTTAAACTATAATTGACAAATTGGAAAGCTAGTGAAATAAGGATACTTGAGCTAATGGAAAGGTTCACCAGAAGCCCAGGAAAGGCTTATGAATCACATCTCCAAATGGTCACCCCAGGCACTCAACTCATGTGATAAACTCCTTCTTTGGCCTCTTTCCAGAGTCAACCAAAAATTGGTAACGGAAATCACACGAGGACAGAAACGTGGTTCACGGCACTCTGAGAACTCTCAAACTGTTAAATGTTTTCTTCAGGGTCACAGGTGGGTTTAACTCCCACCCGTTGATGCTGTAATGGTCTCCCTCCGATGAGGTGAAAATGAGCTCTTTTAAAATTCGTTCTGAGCATTTTTAAAAAATCTTTGCCACCTTTATTTTATGTATACCTTGGTTTGTGACCCTCAGTGCATGAAGCTGATGTCCATGGTTCTGAGGTAACATTTTCCCGATTTCCATCATTATGGACCAATAACACATCTTTAGCTCCAACTGTGCCAACATATAACTAAAAAAAAACTCATTAAATATTTGCTATTCCTTGGATTAATCTTCCAAATTCTAGAATTTAAAAAGTCACAACACTATATGTATATAAATATTTGTATATATCTACTATGAATATAGATCTGAAAATACCTATATACTTTTATATATTTGCTGCTACATCCACTCCCTCCACATATCAAAAGAAAACTCAAAGAATTAAAAGATCAGTATTTACAACATCACTCCATCGGAGGATTATATAGTCACAAACCTACATGCAGGATAGTGATTAGAACTCGAGCCAACTCGATTAACTTTAAATAAACTCCAGACATGGAAGTGAAAAATAAAATATACATGATACCCTTTTCATTTTTAGCTCAGCTGCCAAAAAAGCCAGTTATCTACCTGTGAACGTATGCCACGTATTGTACTTTGAGGACTCTTCATAGTCAGAAGTGTGAAAGGGTCTGCCTCCAACTGTCATTGCCTCTATGATATTGTTATTAAAACAGAAACCTAAAAGACCTAATTCCCAGCTCTGTGTGATCAAGGAAAACCTGGGCACGAGTTGGCTGAAGACTGTCTTGCGGAGTCCTCCGTGCTCACCGAGTGGGAGGGTCACACTGGAGGGACGAATAAGGGCAGAGATGCGTCCCGCTTCCACTCGCTGGGAGCTGGCGCGGGCCACTCCGCGGTGGTGCGGCAGCTCTGTCCGGACTCCACCGCGCCTCCCAGGGGCTCCGACACCAACCCAAGGTAAGCTGCTCAGTTCTACCACCGTTTTTGCTTGATGTCTCCCACACAAGCCCGGTCTCTGCCATATGCTCTGATTCTGGTCATTTGCCTGCATCTGCTTTTTAAGAAAATGTCAAAACGGTACTGCACATGTGCACATATTTCGGGAGTAAATCTGCCCACCTGCGGTTACGCATTCCCACGCTCCCAGCCGAGGGGACTGAGTGCATTTGGCCAGATCAGGCCACTTTGATACGCTACCCATAATGTGGTTCGTGTTTGTGCGTCCAGGTCACGCGGGCTCGCGCGTTCCACTTTAGTTCTCGGTGGGTTTTCTGGTTGGGTTTGGGAAAGCAGAAGTGTGAGCGATGCTGATGCGGGTGGAACGGTCACTGAAGGAGAATCCACGGGAGTACACACAGAGCAAGCTACGAATTCTGCGGGGCTGTGGTTTGGGGCTGGGATGCTGTGCCGGGAGAGGTGAAAGCCAGGACGCGCAATCTCGGACGCCCGAGTTCCCCATGGAGTTACCCACTTGGACCCCTACGGTGGTTCCTGAGCCAGTCTTGGGCTGACAGGGGCGAGAATCCGGGACTGGTCCCCGAGTACCCGGCCCTGTGCCTTCTTCAACCCGCAGAGTGCGCAGCGCGTCCGGTCGGAGCGCAGCCGCCGTCCCCGCCGTCCTCACTGCCACGGCCGCCGCCGCTGGGACGTCAGGGTCCAGGCGCAAGGGGACGCCGCCCCGCCTCCGTCCGCGGCCCTCGGCTCTGCGGGAATCCGGCCGGCGCCGCAGCCACCGCGATAGGGAGGAGGGAGGCGGCGCGCACGGTCCGGGAGAAGTTTGTTGGCCCGGAACCAAGCGCGCCACCGCGCAAGCCAGCTCCTTTGAAGCAGGCGGGCGATGAAGCTTAACCTTACTCCAGCTAGGTCGTGGAGGGCTCTGGAGCCAGTCGGGTGGGTGCGCAGGTTCCCCACTGCCTGGGAGGCAGAGGGGAACGCATGGTGGATCTTGGGGGACAGTAGACTCCGCAGTAGAAAGAATCAGACCCAGATGCTGAAAATGTGTACTTTTAATAGAACCATCCAGGAACTGCGACAGTGGGTGATGTGAGACCAAGCTCGAGGCTGGGAAATGGAAGGGTAACAGAAATAAATTGTGCTGCCTCCTCCCACCCCATCGCCAATTCAGAGACTACTTACTTCCAGCCTCTCCTAGGAGAGGAGGTAGAGGCGCTTTAGAGGAATTTACATCTGCCCACTCCCCACCGCCAAGAAAGGGAGCTAATGAAAGCAACAGTCCTGCACAAACCAAGGCCTATGGTTGTTCTGTGAGAGAAGGGAAAGAAGTCTGGCTTGATAGGGGTGGCCTTTAGGTTCTCCCGAAAAGGCAAGCAAAGCTGCAGGGCTCTTTCTAAGTAAAGAGCCTGCCACCAGGCTCCTGCAAAGGAGGAGCCGGGATGTTTTCATGGTGCAAATTGTAATTTCCCAGTCCCCAGACAAACGGACGGGACCATATCTGAGAGGGATAATTCTTCAGGACTCAAAAGAGGAGGTAGCTGCCAGGGCTAGAGAACTCATTCTCTTCCAGGAAATGCTGGAAGTAGCTGCCAGGTGCTTTCACGTGGTTTTGATCAGAACGATTTCTGCGAGTGTTCAGAAGCCTAAGTGGGGTGTCCTGAGAAAGGACATCTGTGACAATAGAGCAGGGAGAGAGGCTCCATATGGACAGGTAAGAGAAATGCCCAAGGGAAGGGAAGAAAGCCGTGCAATTATGTTTGTATCTGAAACATTGTTCTCCCCAAATCCTTTCCAAACAGATGGGAGTCCATGGTATTCTTCAAAAATGGAAACTTTCCATCTATTTTTCTGGTCCTGCAGTTTGATCTCTATTGCGGAAATCTCAGTTCGGCTTTTTTGTTTGTTTTGTTTGTTTGTGTTTTTTTTTTCTGAGGCAGCAGAAATGGGCAGTGGGTTCTGAGTGCGCTATTCTAGAGACAGGAACCATAGGAAGGAGACTAATAGCATCTTAAGTGGAAATCCAAATGACGAATGAAAAACAAGCAGGGATACAAAGAAGTGGGGCAGCAGATACACTAATACATAGACTTGAAGGATCTGGGAAGTCGAATGAATGGGCTGAGTTTAATAACTCCAGGCAGGCCTTGTTGAAAGCTTGCATCCAAACAGGCAGAGAACAGGTAGGCTTAGCAGAGGATAACAAACATGGGAGACAGAAGGAACGGCATGTAGGAAGGCTTAAAGGTGTCGAGGGGGAGCATTCACGTGCCTGGTGAGACAGACAGCACAGCTGATGTGGAGTCTAGGATGAGGAGAGATGGCAAGAAGACTGGAATGGGGAGGCTGAGGAGCAGGGGTCCCTGGAAGCTGTTGTGTAGACCAACAGCAAGACACCCAGGTGAGGAGGCTGCACACTGAAATTAACAGAAAGATGGTGATGGCAGACCAACAGGCCTATCTTATGCATGTGTAGATTGTGAATTGGAAATGCCCCTCCCTTTTGTTACAAAATCAAAGGCAGTTGTGCGATTTTAAGACTATTTTATCAGGAAGCCTACAGAGCCATTCAGATAAAAGAGAAACAAGAAAAGATGGATGAGTTGGGAAAGCATACAAATCTTTCAATATGAAATTCTGTCAGAGGTAGGGATGTGCCTACGAAAAACAGAACCAGAGCTTGTAACGAGAAGGCAGTGCCGGCCAGTTGCAGTTGCTGAGGTATCTCAGATCTGGGGTATCTGCGAAGCCATGGCAGACAGCTGTCAAAGCAGATGCACTGTCAAGAAGGGAGACAAGCCCTTAGGTGTGTGCACATAGAATCTGAGGGTGGATGTCTTCCGGGAAGTGAGCACTGTTTCTGAAATGAAAGGAAAAATTCTATAGAACTTTGAAGTATTTAAGCTAATTGGTCGGTAGTACAAATATTCGTTGTCAAGGAGTGTGTTTTTTGTGATGACAAAGACCCAGTTCAATACTGTTATTATCTTTGAATCTCACAAAATTAAATTCACCAAGCCTTCTTTTTGAAATTTTTATACTTCCCTACAATTCCTTATTTCACATGTATCTTTCTACAAATATGAAGTAGTCCAGGTGTCACTATATTGGCTCATAGTTCTCAATATCTATTTTGCTTTCATCTAAAAATTTGCCAGTGACTGTGTTCCTTTTTCCAGCTGGTCTCATAGCTGCCTACTGATGCTAGGTTTGCAGGGGATGAACGACTAAAATGCAACCAATTTTTTTTTTTAAGAGTGGAGACAATGCAAACAAATTATCATTGCGTAGTAGAGACTGCTGATGCAGAGGAGTGGAGATCAGTGAGCTCAAAAGGCAGGGGCTAGCGAACTTTGCCTAGGATGGTGCTCACAGACCACCCAGAAGATGGCTTTCGGACAGCAAGTTAAAGGCAGAATAAGAGTACCCAGGTGGTGAGAGGACTGGAAGAATGCTTCTCCAGGAAATAAGCAAATAATATAAATTAATAAATAAAGTGTACAAAGCACAATCAGCATTGCAGTTGTAATTCACAGGTAGAATGTGTTCATTATGTACAAAGCCCTTCTTCTGATCCCCAGCGCACACCCTGAAAGCATGGGCAAAAGTAGGGTACTTGGGGTCCTGCTTCTAGTTTGATGGGGCAGTTTGGAAAGCAGTAGATAAGCAGAGAGCTGAAGAGGCAAGGCTCCACTGTACCAGAGCCTTAAGTCCCTTGCTTCACAGTACACAATAAAACACCACCGAGGATGGAAAAAGGAGCCCTCATGGGTTTAGAGAGAGAATTCTTAGGCAGGACTTCCACACTTTGCTGCAATCTAGCACTCCGTTGGTGTGCTAATCACTGGTGTGCAGCTATCCTGGAATACCTACAAAGCCTTGTCGGGAGAGGAGGAAGAAGAGATCAATTTTTAGCAGTTGGGAAATGGAAGTTGGGGAAACAAGAGTGGAGGAAAAGAGTCTTGTTGTAGTTGTTGTAACAACTAGAAAAGAGTCTAGCGGAATCTGTTGTAGCTTCCAGGACTAGAAATGGCACCAAAGAGAACAGACTATTTTTTTTTTTTTTTGGTGTGGAGAAAGTGTGCATGGTTTCAAAAGACACACTGCACAGGGATATGACAGGCTTCTCTCCTGGTCTGAAGCGCATAGGAAGTGAAGAAGAAATTGAAGGTGATGTTGAAACTTAATGGGTTCCTACTTTGACAGGATTTGTAACAAAAACATCAAGGTGGGATTTCTGTGCAGTTTTCAAGAGGTAGAAACCTTGTTCAAGTTGTGGGAGGTTTCTGTGGACTGACTTTAATTTCATGAGTAAAAGAAATGATGAAATTATCAAATAGCACATCTATAACAAAGCAATTGCATTTGATTATTAGTTTAGGATTTTAACTCTCATGACTTTTCTGCTGGCTTTTTTTTTCTCTTCATGAAAGTTAGATTCTCAAGATTGACAAGAGAACAGATGTGTGACACCTGTTGCTTTGCTTATTTACACAATGCCTCACTTCAGCACAGCGAAGCTTTCCTGCTAGAGTTGCACACAGACATACTGGAGCATAGTCAAGAGAGTTTGATTTAAAAATTAGGCATCTACCCTACTTACATTTCTCTCGTGGACCACAGTGACATCAAGCACTTACCTACACAAGTATGTGTAAATTATATGTATGTGTATTACATGAGTTTATGTCTATAACATTCAAAAGGGTGCCCATATGGACCAGATGGCATCAGATTCCCTGGAACTGGATTTACAGTCAGCGGTGAGCTGCCTGATGTGGGTTCTGGGGACCAAACCTGGATTCACTCCGAAAGCAGCAAGTGCTGTTAACTACTGAGGCATCTCTTAGCCCTAAAACCAGACTTGGTATCTCCACCAAGTATCTACAACATTGCTATATCTTCACCCAATTAATGGTACATAGTAGGGCTCTCATCATATCAATGAAATTAAGGAATAAAGTTTTCAGTTGATCCTTCCTCTGCTGTTCATATTTTCTGTGTACAAATATGGACTTTATGTTATAAAACATAATATGGAATTTTTCAAAACTTGTCTTTCTTAAAAATCCATTAGATTTTATAAAAGCTTTAAAGATTTTGATAAATGGACTAAGAATAAGAGATAGTATCCAAAACTTATCTGGTCAGCAAGGGCTGGAGGAGAATACTGGATTACAAGTAGCAATCAGGACCAGGCATTCAGACATCTACTATGTTGTTGTTGTCATAGCAGTGAGAAATAGGTTTCAGGTAGGGCTATCTGAAGGATTTCAGAGGATTGTTTTAGAAGGTCCACTGCTGTCTGTGTAGGGCCTGTCAGTGCTGAGCACATGCACAAGTATGTCTTTACAACGTGTGGAACTGGATTGGAACTATCAACGTTCTGATTGGGATCTTGACAGGGGATAAATGAATATTTATGAAGAAGTGATGTGATATATAATGATCTGAGAGCCACACCCTGCACCCTGCTAGTAGATAATAAATTGTAATAACAAAAACTTCTTGATCAAGCAAACCTGGACTTGGACCCAAGGCTCCCAGATGGATTATTGCACGAGCATTCATGCCTGTGGAATTACAAGACTTAGGGTCTAGGCAAGCGTGTCTCATCTTCCTTTTTCAATCATGTAGGATCTGGGAGCAAACTTAGTTCCTGAGGCTTGACAGCAAGCGCCTTTACTGACTGAACCATCTTGCCAACCCAAGATATTTGCTTGGGTAGAAAGAGAAAATGTGTGTTTTTAAAATTAATGTTCCTAGTCTCTTTTAATTTTTTTTTCAAATAGACTGGGTCGTGGTGGTGCCTTTAATCTCAACACTTTAATCTCAGCACTCAGGAGGCAGAGGTAGGTGAATCCCTCTGAGTTCGAGGCCAGCCTGGTCTACAAGAGCTAGTTCCAGGACAGCTAGGATTGTTACACAGGGAAACCCTGTCTCAAACAACCAAAAAAAATTTTTTTCAAATATTTGAGCATATGTTACATAGCCTTCTTACTCTGTACCCTGTAAATATTAGAGGCAGGCATATATTTCTGAACTATGAATATTAAAATAAATGCAACACATAAAATATGCTTTATTTTATAAAATGAAACCACATAGAACAAATATTTTCTATACCTTTATTAAAAATGTATTGTAGATGGCTTTGTACAGGCTTTCTAGAAAGCAATTTCAGGGTGTTAAGAAACTTCTGCCTCTGCATACGTTGTCTTGTGGCTCTAGGTTAGTCACTGACCTGGGAAGACTTGGGACATCTGTCTTAGAGCTTAACTTCAGCCGTGAAAGGCAAAGCACTAGATTGTGATAACAGTGGATTGAATTAATTTACAAAGCTATCCTGATAGTCATCTTACCTAGACCTGAAGGGACATATAGAAAGCTGCCACATTCTGATATGGGGTTGGTTGTTGGTTAAAGTCAAGGATGAAGAAATCCAAGGAGGGGAACAGTGGCAAACTTAGGGCAGCAACCAGCAGCCTAAACTCAGCCTGTGTCTGGGACAGAGACAGGAAAAAAAGAGCGAACAGACTCAGAAAGATATGGAAAAGTTCTTTCCATGGCAGTTTTGTTGGTGGTCATCCCAGAAAATGCCTCCAGCATAACATTAAAAAAAATCTAGAAAATGCATGCTAGTGAAATAAGAAAGTGGATGGTAGAAATGAGGTAACCAACTGAATTGAAGAGAGATAGGTAGGTGGATGGTTGGATGAATACACAAATGCATGGATAGGTGATAGATAGATAAATAGACATACAGATAGATGCATAAAGAAATGATAGATAGGTAGATAGATAGATAGATAGATAGATAGATAGATAGATAGATAGATAGATAGATAGGCAGACAGACATGGTAGTAGACAAGCAGACAGACAGATAGAAGAAGTCAAGTCCAAAACAATGGATCTGTAGGGAGGTTAGAAGAGGTTCTGAAGAGGTTCTGGGTAATGTGAAGTTAGGGAACCCAGTGAGTATTTACAAAAGGATGAAGGCTTGGCTGTTGGAAATTCAGAAGGGACTGAGTTAAGATGAGGAGTGAATGGATTCTTGTGTAAGTTCCTGCTTATCTCACTGAAAGATACTGGTAGGAGGCTCAAGTACTCAAACATTTGATCTACTAATTATCCGATCTTATGCTTACAACACTCTGGATAAATAAGATTAATGCTAAGTTCTGTAATCCTCCGAGTGTCTCTGAAAAATTGTTGGGGGATGTCAAGATCTACTTGCGACTTTATCGCTCTCTAGTTCTTTGTTGCTGTAACAGGAACCAAAGTTTTGATGAAAATGAATTTCTAAAACCACTTAACACTTCTCCTTTTCAGATACCAAATCAACCTGAGCGGAAGAGATAACCGTAGCTGCAAATTAGACTAATTATTCTTTAGCAGATATAGCAGCAGACATCTTCAGAGTACATAGTTCAATGTCAGTGATCCTAGCTTGCAGGTGAATAAATCAAAACTTAAAAATGTTCTGTAACTTGCATACAATTAGGAGAACTCACACAGGAAGTCGTGATTTTAACTACTATGTTACAGTGCTAATTGATCAATTGAGCGAAATCCCCCCAGTTAAAGCACAATCATAGATCTTTTTGACAATTGGATCAAAATTAGCTATAGAATTTATATGAACCAGAATACATTTATTTAACAGTTGCTAACAGAGAAGAAATAAAAGCTGTGATCAATTTGCAAGGTTCTGTGAGGATTAGGACTATGTCTGTCCTAAAATTCAAAATAAATACGACATACGAACAGATGTTTGGTATTTAGAACCACACATACAGTTTTAACATTGAAATTGCTGCCTCTAGCTATTCATCCAGAAATATCTAGAATCTTGAATTAATTTCAAAATGCTGAATTGAGTATTTGGCATGTGTATGTAGACTATCAAAGATGGTGGGCTTACTGTTTTCTATAGAGAATCTCTTGACACAAGGTAGACATTTGTATGATGAATTCTTTCATGATTGGTTCTTTGTTAAAATGTAGATAATTGCAAATGAGTGATTTATGACTCTTGAATAGCTATTTCTAATAAAAGTGTATTTGTCAAATAAAATTAAGGAATCCAGTACATTTTTCTTCCAAATTATTTCCATTTTTGCTAATTCGCTACAGTAAAGTTAATTTAAACAATGCTAAATTTAGAAAAATTGTTATAGGTATCTAAACATATTTTATTTTATCTGTCACTATTTTGTGTGTGTATGGATTTCTTCCATACAATTATTCTATGTCTGATGTCCATGGAGGCAAGAATAGGGCATCATATCAGCTGAATTGGAGTAACAATCAATGTGAGCTGCCTTGTGGGTGCTGGGATTCAAAACCAAGCCCTCTGCAAGAGTAGCCAGTGCTCTTAAGCACTGAGCAAACCCTCCAGGCCCTCTATGGATTTTGTATGCTGGAACTTTCATTGACGTACCTGTAAAGGGAGACTATAAATTCTTAAAAGCAGTGATGTCAATGGACAATTATAAAATGCCCACTTGGCATGTCATGTATCAGTTTCCCTTTAGACAGTATGAAGACTGCATCTGTGCAATTGTAATTTTAGGAGTGAAACGCAATCCCATAACAAGATAGTTCATGTCAAATATTATGATGTCATTTAAGCCATAATATACAAATATAATATTCTCAAACAAAATCATGAATGATGGAAATGTGTTTAAAAATTCTGAATCATGGTATTTTAGACCAACTATATAGGCAATAAATGAAAAAATACAATAAAATATATTTAAACGTGTGTGTATTTTAAAGGATACAGTCAGTTGACTGAATGGAACCCTGTGAAATAAGAGAGAACATTTGTTAATTATAAGCTGATAAAGAGTCAATACTCGGGCTGGAGAGATGGCTCAGTGGTTAAGAGCATTGCCTGCTCTTCCAAAGGTCCTGAGTTCAATTCCCAGCAACCACATGGTGGCTCACAACCATCTGAACTGAGATCTGATGCCCTCTTCTGGCCTCCAGACAGACACACAGACAGAATATTGTATACATAATAAATAAATAAATAAGTAAAGAGTCAAAACTCAGAATATATGAAAGAACAGCAACAGCCAACCATTAAAAAGAGAAAGTATGAGTGTCATTTCTCCACAGAAGACATAAGAATGGCTATAATGTACACAAAACATGTTTAGCATTACGAATCCTCAGGAAAAGACAGATCAAAACCACAATGAGTCATTAGTATAGCATACCTATACTGTTATAGTTATAACATTAATAACCATTAGTATAGTATCGATCACAAAGAAAGAAAACAAGGAATGTAACAGAGGATATGGAGAAATCAGTACCCCTCACTATTGGCCATGTGAATGGTGTGGGTGTTTCAGAAAAAGGCATGGTGCTGCCTCAGGAAACTGAAAGTTGGAAAACCATGTGATTCACCTAGCATTTTCATTGTTGAGCCTGTAGGAGGAGGCCAGTAGCTTTTCCCGGCTGCCCAGAACCGAAATAATCACACAGAAGCTGTATTAATTAAGAAGTGTATTAATTAAGTCACTGCTATAGCTTCTTATTGGCTAACTCTTGCATTAATTTAACCCATTAATTTTTATTAATCTGTATATTGCCATGTGGCAGTGATTTACCAGGAAAGATTTAGCATGTCTGACTCTGGCGGCTTCATGATGTCTCTTTCCCTGCCTTCCTTCTCCCAGCATTCTGCCTAGCTTTTCCGGCCTACCTAAGTCCTGCCCTATTCACAGGCTAAGGCACTTTCTTTATTCATTAACCAGTGAAAGCAACACATAGACAGAAGGATCTCTCACACCATATACCCAAGAGAATTGTAAGTGGGAGCACAGGTTGATGGCTGTACATCTTTGCTCAGAACGAGCGTTCAAAGCAGCCAATAGATGGGAATAAATGAATATCCACTGATGGATGATGAACAAAAATGGGCACTTGGGAGCAGTGAAGTATCATCTAGCCCCAACCAAGAGAAATTTCTGACACAAGTCTCAACACAAATGAGCTTTTAGGTCCTTATACTATTGGCCAGGAAAGCTCTCAGTCAGTTAATGCTTGATGCACATGCATGAAGACCAGAGATGAAGTCCCAGAACTCACATGAAAAACTGGATAGGGTGGTGTGTGCCTGTAAACCCAGCTGTGGGGAAGAGAGCTTGCTCATCAGTCAGTCTACTCTAACCAGTGAAAGTGAGGTGAATGAAAGACCTTGTCTCACAAAGCAAGGTAGCTGGCTCCTGAGGAATGACACCTGGAACTGACCTCCCCTTTCCGCACATACACATGTATATGTGCACCCATAAGCCCAAGACTGTAGGCACCTTTGTGAGTACACACAACACACAACACACACACACACACACACCGCCGCCACCGCCACCACCACCACCACCACTACCACCAAAGATATCATGTTAAGAAAAATAAAGTCACCAGAAGACAAAGTAGAATGATTGCAGAATCAACCGATATTCAGGTACCTACCGCAGTTCCATGTGTAGCAGGGAAAGTGGAGGGATTACAGGGAATTGCAGACAATGAGATGGGGGGTTTTACTTAGCAGTCAAAGATACCCACTTCTGGGACCTGACAAGAACTGTTGAGATGGATGGCTGTGGGGGTGCACAGCAGTGACAATGAACTTAATTACACTGATATGCACACCTAGAAATGATCAAAATACAAATTAAACAAAATATAAAATACGAAATAAAATACATTTTGCAATATATTTTACCACATTTTTTAAAATAAAAAAAATCATTTGAGTGTTATGGCTTTAAAACCATTGAAAAGGTGAGAAAAATTAAGTGATGAAAATCTGTCATCATTAGTAGTTAATAGTAGAAATATCTCCTGAGCACTCATAAAGGTTAAAATATATATCGAAACACTCAGTTGCATGTTAGAGCATCATATACCCTAATATAAAACTATATGATATATAGAAATCAATTGTTTTCGCTTTGCTGCTACTGATTTTGTGGGTGTGATGAAGCAGAATACAGAATCTCAACTTGAATGTTTCTGCCATTACAGATCCTTGGCCGTTTGTTCCCATGGTCTCACGGCACAATGAGGCACACTGGCTCTTGGAAACTGTGGACCTGGGTGGCAATGTTCCTGCTTCCTGCTTTCACTTGTGTGATGGTCAGGGACAAGTCAGGTATGTGGGTCACCTCTCTCCTTGAATGATAAATGTTATCTATAGTCCTTAAATCATTTAAAAAAAAAATCCATCAAAGCAAATCTTGTTAAGATTGGAGAGGCTACAGATTAGATCTACTGACCCAGAAAAGAGAAATCATTGTTTTCGACCACTGACCTTGAGAAAGTGCCCATGGTGAACTTCCAGATTTTTCCACATGCATCTTATCTTTTTCTGTAATTGGAACTTGTAAGTGTGATTATATGCTTGCTTGTCTCTGTGCGTCTATATATTATCTCACATTTTAGCCTCTAAGAATTACTTGCTCAAGTTATAAGTCGAAAACCTCACCACTAATTAGGATTAAGAAGGATGTGTCTGCCCTTAATTAAGAAAAAGTGAAAAACAGTCTCGGAAGTGTAAAAAGAAATAGAGTTTAATTATATGTCGGCTTTGTGGTGTCTCAGATGAGAGAAACAAAGGGCAGACAATCTTTACAGTATCCAAGAAATAGATAACATTTATTTTCAAGTGTTAAATTTATGAATCTTCTCTTAAATAGCCCCACAGGTCTTTCCAGCCATTTGGAGCATTCATTTTTATCACTGACTTTTAAAATTAACTGCGCCTATATAGATCATTAACCTACCTGCATTTCATGATGCAAAGTTGAAGCGTATCTATAAGGTCATTTGCTAAGGAAAGATCACATGGGATGTACTCTGACAATAACCACACATGGTAATCTATCTTGAGATCTGAAGACTGAATCTTTCCGTGTATGTTCTTTAGAATATTTCTTAATAATTTTGATGAATAGGACAACTTCCATCTCATAAAGGTCTTTTAGTTTATACACATACAAAATAAAAACTGTTGCCTATAACCATTTAACAAATCTTTGTACATCTTGATTATTTATCATTAATTTCAGAGGAAGCCCATTTCCTAAAAACAGTCCATGTGAAAATTAAATTTTCTATTATGTGTTTATGATACTCTGTGCTTGTCACGTGGTCTTGAGGAAATGTGCCTTTTCTTCATGGAGAAATAAATACATACGCAGCAATGCCTAACAAATGCAGCCACATTAAAATGAAAAGCTACTTAGAGAGAGCAACTATGTTCTGATAATCTGCTCCCTTAAATTTATGTTTCTTTAGGAAGCAAAGGTGCTGTGTTTTGCAATTTAACATGAGTAGGTGGGCTTCCTTTACCTAGAATGGAGGATAAATCTTTAGCTGAGTGGTACAGTGTTTTTGGCCAAGCCAGTATGTAGGAAATAGCTTTAAGTGGAAACATGGTTTGAAGGATCTACACAAATGACTCCAGTTATAGCAAGAACAAGAATCACAGCAGGTACTGATTCCTGCCTGTCTAGCAGAGATTTCCATTTGCCGTGGAAGCCATGGTTAAGTCGGTACTTTACGTCTTTGACAAGCCAACGATTTGAGTCTAATGCAGGATGACTGTGAAGTATTTGGGAGAATACTCACTTTTGGGATAATTAAATTATTTTCTGTATTATTTTTCTGTATTATTCCTTAGCTGGTTATCTTCTGTTATTTTATTTTAATCTCTAGCTTTAATAACTCATTTATTGTAAGAACACTTACCATGCTTTCTACTTTGTAAAAGGTACACTGAAATATGTTTTTCTGTACAAGTACAGAAAGCATTATTAACCATAATGGCCCTGTCTACTGAATATCCCTAGAACTCAATCATTTTACATAACCCAACTTCCATATTTTGGAATTTTTCTGAATGTTTTACTTTTCTACATTGAATATCACAGTTCTTTGATCAAGTTATACTGTATATAAAACTACCCAAATGTAATCTAACCTCAAATATCTTACTGAATTGGTTTCTTTGAAAGATTTTTTTTCTAAGAAGCTAAATTGTAATAAGATTCACAAAACAGGTAGCACTAAAGGAAATTAATTTAGAAAACACCAAGTTTTCTCACGCCATTTGGCAGAGGGTGCCTGTAGAGCAAGAAGTACATTTGGAGCCTGCCATGGAAATTGCTTCATCTCAAATATCATTTACATTAATTGAAAATGTCAGCACACTACCATCCCTGGGACAGTTGGAGAACATGACACACTGGGCCTGGCCTGGCAGGAGACTCTTCTTGGGTCGTGTCCTGTGTGTCTGATTCACGGGGCAAGATTCCCTTGTTAGTTTCCTCATGTGCAGACCTGTGTGTGTGGTCACTAACCATTTACCGGAGGGAAGTGATTACATCTAAAAATAAAATCTAGCAAATCTGAGGGAGAGGCTAGGGTTTCAGTTCTGGACTTGGTGAGGTTGTCAACAGTTTACAGTTAAAACTAATGTAATAAAGGATACCTCAAGTCTTCACTGCCATCCTCCGCTCTATGGCAGCCTTAATGAGAACCTGGAATATTGTTGTGAGTGGGACAGACTTCAAAAATAATATGGAAGAGTCAACAATATCGTAAACTGAAAAAAAATCTTGAATTCAGCTATTTCCCATTTTTGATCATTTTGCTTTATATTCACATTATGGAATAAGATACATGTGTGTATTTTCATAGTATCGATAAATTTCAACTTGAATCTGACAGCTTCAGCTCAGCTTTCAGGGCAGAGAAGAAAAGTGTATTAACATATACAAAATTCGACAACCTTTAAATTGGCTTTAATCAGTTTCTTAAAACTGGATCCTCTATGATAGAAACTTCCATATCACATGGTTAGCTTCTTCTCTTAATGTGGCATTAAACGTGAGTACTAAATTATTATAAGAAATTCTAAAAAACAGAAACACCAGAGTGCAAAGCCTAGGTAAACTAGATGGCAGGGTGCCATCTAAGAGAATATTTTGCAAACAGTTTTCCAGCTTCATGTACTCTCTGGTATTAAGGATTCTCATAGGCCAAAAGCTAATCACAGAAACCTCACTAAGTCCATTCTCTACTAGCACAGATGTAAAAGTTATTGTTCTGAAGTATAGCTTATATTTGTAGACAGAAAAAGCTCCCATTAACCTCACATAGAAATTTGTCTTCTCTATTTTTAGTAAATCTTAGTGCTGATATGGAACCACCTAAAATCCCCCACAGGGACACATGCAGTACGTATCGCCTGCATGTGGAAAGTAAATACCACAGGGACCGGAGAACATGTTCCTCACCAGATATTTTCTTTGGAGGTTTGGATCAAAGCTAAGTAGTGGAGGTACTTTTGTGACCTCTTGTGACCTTTCCCCAGAATAGCTATGACTCTCTTTTTTTCTCATTGGCAGCTTTTTTTTTTTCCATAGTAGTTTTGTTATACTGTCGCCCAGCATGCTTTGTCTACTTTTCTTAGCCTTTGATTTACTTTCAACATAGAATAGTGGTATTCTGTTCTCAAATGCCTGGACTACATAGAAAGTAGGTGCACAGAGATCTGAAGCACAACTTGGAACAATGAGCAGGCCGGCCCCTTGACTGCCTCTATCCAATAAGAATTCTGTTTGAGCTTTTGAAAAACACGAGAGATGGCTCAGTCAGTAAAAGGCTTGCCTTTCAAGCTAAATGACCTGAGCTTGATTCCCCAGAATGCACCCCCCCTTTTTTAAATCTGTGCATAGTGACCCATCATTGAAACTTTGACTCTTGGGAGGAAGAGACAGTCAAAGTCTTGAGACCTGCAGGTCAGCTACCTAGACTACACAGTGCATTCCAGACATCTAGACAGTCCTCTGGCTTTCTTCCTTCCTTCCTTCCTTCCTTCCTTCCTTCCTTCCTTCCTTCCTTCCTT